CCACAGCCAATGGACACAAACTGAAATATAGGAGGTTGCCTCTGAACATCAGCAAACACTTTTTACCGTGACGGTGACCAAGCACCAGCACAGGGTGCCCAGGGAGATTGTAGAGTTTCCATCCGTGAAGATATTCAAAAGCTATCTGGACATGGACCCGGGCAACTGGCTCCAGATGGCCCTGCTGGAACAGGGGAGATAGACCAGATGACCTCCAGAGGGCCCTTCCAACCACAACCACTCTGCGATTCTGCAAATATTAAAACATTACAATTGGTACAAACATTTTTGCTTTATGCAAGACATTAAATGTCTTCACAGGAACGGAACAGTCCTGTTTGATACCCCTTGCAGTGACACGCAATGCAAATCCCTTCTCAGTTATTCAGCACGATCCTTCAGTTGCCTAACAGCTCCCCTCTGCCCTCGTGGTAGTCTGCCAGCCTTGCTTAGTCTCCCGCAAGCTTCTTGTTTCTGACTTCTGCTTTGGAGAACTCCTCGAGCTATTCGCCCTCGTGATCTCCTTTGTGCACACTGCCTGATGTAGTTTACGCTGTTGTAACCCTTGCGCTAGGTGTCAAGAGGAAGGGTTCACCCTGCCTATCTGGCAGGCCAAGTTTTCTTGTTCCAAGAGTTTTCTAATATAAATATTTAAAATCTCACCAGGCAGCAGCTCATGCCCCTTTTAAATGTCTGGCTGTTCGCTTCAGGACCCCTCCAAACACATGATTTAACTGACAAAGAGTAAAAAACACCAGGCCCCTGCACCTTTTCAAAGACAAAAATGTAAGGGCTGAGTGCTGACTTGTTTGGCCTTGCCAAAGGAAGACTGAGGGACACAAGGGGGTCAGACCTCTTGCTATAAATACCTCACGGAGAAACCAGTTATTCATGCTACGAGACAATGCTGGCATAAGACCAACTGCATATAAACTAGCTGCGAATACATTTAAGGCGAATACTGAAAGCAGATTTTCGTCCACTGGAGCAAAGAGACCCCAGAGCAGCCTTTAGAGAGGAGCAATAGCAACAGTGGCATCTGAGTTCAAGAACAAGAGCGTTTCACAGGAGACTGGAGTCTGGACTCCGACACACAAGATCTCTTTTACTGTTGCACCCTTGTCATCTGTTCCACATTATAATTCATTCCGATAAAAGATGACTACTTTCCATAAATGTCGCGTGTTATGCTCATGTACAGACCTCACAATGGCCTCTAGTGATGAACGACAGTCAAGCACCCTGAATGAAAGATTCCTGCCAGCCTATGCCTCACAGAAAAGGCATCAGCACAACATTGCCAGAGTTAATCAGTCTCAGAAATAATCTTGATAAAGCATGTCTATAATTCAATCTTCAACGTGTGGCTGACACATAGATTTTGTACTCCAAGAGCTATTTCAGCTAGGGGTTAGATTTCTCCCCCCCTCAAGCTCCTCTGGAAGTTCTTCCGAGGTAGCCACTGTGGAGGCACAGTTAAATGGGTACAGACATCTCAGAAGGTGACATCATCTATTCTTTCTTCTTACACTGAAATAGGTCATGCAGGCAAAAGGCACTTTTACACCATTATAACAGCAAATGAACTAGGAAGATCATACACTTTGACTTGACTTGAACCACTAACACAGATTCACATGAAGTCAAGTCCTTGAAAGAAACCTTCAAGAAACAAAACCAAACCCCTGTTTCAGCACAGTACTTGTTCTTACTTCACCAAGCAAGTTTTGCTTCTCAGCTAGATTTTAAGTTCAGAAGGTAACTTTCTTACAGAACAGACTGCCCTGTAACATTGTATCGTGAAATTTCACATTCATAATTTTATTATAATCTGAATAGAGGTGATATCTGAAGAGCAGAGAAAATGACTATACAAAGAATTTATAGAACATTCATTTACATACTGGAGACCTTTTGTTGTTTCTTTACAGTTTCAAGAAAAAGGCAAAAATTTTCACTAGTAGGTAAATCCGAGAAGGAAACATTAAAGTTTTAATGATGCTGCTGGATACATGGAAACCATTTAATTAAAAGCATGGCTTTTAGCACTTCTGTAGTTTAACACTGTCTGATTATAGTAGTACATTTACTAAGCAGGTTAATAGGAGTCTGGCTAAATACATGTGTCAACTTGCTGCCACTAGTTATGAAACTGCATATACATACCTACCAAAAACCTTGAAAGTGCTGTATTAACTATTTAGTCTTGTATTTCCCATGAACTTAAGTTTTGTGAATAACTTTCTACATACACTACACAATAGTACATACTGAACTATTTTGCTTTGTGCATTTTTTAATTCATTAAAAAGCAAAAGCACGTGGCAATATACCATCCAAAGGAATGCATAATAGAAAACCTCCCTTAGAAACAGGGCAACTTCTTTTTTCCCACTTACCAAGTAGAGCCAGACTCCCAGGAAACACCACCAGGAGCGTCAGCATTCAACTCCTTATGCCTTCAGCAAGCACAAGGAATAAAAAAATAAGGCCCTGTATGGAAATGATAATACACAGGAAAAAAAAAGACACTTTATTTTAAGCCCAAAGGCCAACACTTGGTGTCTAACAAGACACGCTAAAATTTAAGTATCATCTACAGAAGTGAAAAAATATAGTAAAAAATTTCTCCTTATCTCACTGCTCACAACACATCAGATTTAAATCTACTTGAGACTTAAATCTAATGGAGATGTCAGCTGAAGAAATTCACTGGGCTCCAACTGGCTGACCAGATTAGGCAACTGAGTTCTTGGTGCATTAAAAGAACATTAAAAGGAAACTTGTCCTCACATGTTTCACAATGACAAAAGCTCCTAAAAGTAAGAACCGCATTCTTTTTTGGATGGTACATAAACACCGTTTAAGTAGTATACCTCTGTCAGAACAACAGAATTATTTGGTACAAACCAGAGGCACTTGCCTTCGTTGCGTCAGCGGTAGCCACTACGCTTTGGATTGCTTCACTCTTCTACACACATCCAATGCCCACTGCTAATGATACACCACTTCCTTCTCCAAACACATTAAACGGAACCTTTCTTCTCTCTCCCTCTCTTCCCCACCCCCTTCCTTTTAAACAGCATGAAGTCATTTATACAAAGTTCATAGTTACACCAGTAATTTGGTTAAACCTTTGGCTATGGTCACTGAATAAGGTTTCCATGGTTCCAATACTTTAGGAAATAGGAAGAGAGCTGTTAACAAAAACCAGATCATAATTTTTACAGGACAAACGTAGTTTAAACTGGTGGAACTTTCCTACCATATAGCCCAACCAGAGTTTCCCATTCCGTTTAAACATTATTTAGTGAAAGTGGATAGAAGGATTAAATCCTCCGAGGGGGTATAGTTACTAGTTAATCCAGTGCCTCATGCACTGGCATGCCGAATTCAGGATGTTGTTTTATTCCTCGGGGTATTAATACAGTGCTGACAGTCACACATCAAAGAAATAGAGGCAATGAAACTTTACAGCACTGTGACACTTCAGCTGCTTTATTACCATCAGATCTGAAATGGGGGTCTAGTACTGCTCTTTTTGGAGTGAATGGGAATTAAACAGTAGAACTCAGTGACTTCTCTTCCTCATGAAGGTTTCCACTGTGATCTACTGTATCAATTTTTTGTAAAATTAACTAGCACTTTATTATGCGTTTAAAATACTGATGTGTTTAGAAAGATACAGAGACATGTACAAGTGTGATGGCTGTAGAAATCAGGACATAAATGCTCTCAAGAAATGGGACAGAGTAACAAAATAAAATCCCTTCCCTTTCAGATTTCCTGACTCAAGCAATTATAAAAAAAAAAACATTATAAACCAAAAATAGCTCCTACGGATAAAAAAAAAAAGCCAAAAAATCCCCAGAACATCAATAAAAAGGGGGCCAGAAGAATCCACAAATATAATTATGCATTAGGTGAGGGAACAAATGTTACCACCAAAACAGTATTGCAGAGACAGGAAATGGGAATTATCTTGTCACTGTAAGGCAAAAGTCACAATGTAAGACTCTATGGTCTATAGCAAGGCACAGGCTATACACCCTTTTACTTATGCAAAATAGTGCTAACGAGGCAACACTCAACAATGTTCTAGTTCAAGAATATCCCTATTACATATCAAAATCTGAGATCTACCATAAATAAGCTGGCACAGGTAAAATATATAAAACATAAAATTTTCTTCTTTGCTTTTCCCTCATTTTTATTCTGTAATCATTAAAATACAGTATCTTCCCTGCTTAGTTCTCTGTATAAAAAAATAATACAAAAAACCCCCAGATCACAGATTTCCACACCTTTTTTTTGTTCTGCCACCTCTCTCCTGCTTAAAAACAGCCCAGCCTTCTTAATACTAAATACAGAGCAATCTCTCTGAAAAATCCACATTGCCGCTCCTTTCTTAACAGCAATCAGCTTGCGCAAACCTTCTCTTCACATACATCTTCCCCGTTCTCCATTCAGTTCCCATCACTGATCACACAAAGATGAAGGGAAGAGCAAATAGTCTTCCTCAGACCACCACTCTCTTAAGAGCATGTCTGCAAGGCCTACAGCTACCATTGATGCAACCATGGCAAGTGTCTTTGTGGAGGTTATACAAAACATTTTCTGCACAAAAAAGCAGCACAGCCTAGTGAGTATTTCTGCTCCAATAAATGATGAGAAACAGCATGTGAAAATATATCAGAAACCCTTCAGGAGAAAAGTTTTTCATTTATGCTTCATTCAGCTATGGGCTACATATGTTTGGGTGGCACCCAGCTTCTTTTGTTGTGTCCTTTGATATGAAAACAAATAATGCTTTGTGAAGTCAGAGGCATCTTCAAAGAAAAGGCTGAACTCTTGCAAGCACAACGCAGATAGACCATCCTCTGCTTTCCTTCTTGGGACTGACAAGGTTCAGACGCTGCTGCTGGATAGGCTTTCTCCCTCTCACAGTGCTTTCCTTCAGTGAAGTCAGTGAAGAGCTCCGAGTCCAAGATTGAAAGGTGTCAGATCTTCTTCTGGGATCCGATCATGACCTTTGACACAAAGTTCACAATGGCGCTGGCAGGTTGCTCTGGATCGTGCTCTGCAAACAGGTGGCACACGTTGTCTGTGGCACTGCCTTGCTTCCTGGCAACGAACCCAAATACTCTGCACGGGCAACAACCACAGCGTATCAGAGAACAGACAGACAGGCACTGCCTCGTTTCACACAGCAAAAAAGATACTGCAGACACCAGACGCACAAATCGGACTTCAGCTGTTCTGAAGGTCCTGTGTGACTGCTAAACACAGCAGCCTAGACGCACCAGCCAACTCAGGAGCTCCTGCGTGGCTCAGGATGGCCAGCATCAGGGAGAGAGGTTGTCCCCTTCCTTCTACTCCGTCTCCATTGCATCCTGTACTGTGTGCTGTCAGAGACATGTTGCTGGCCCTGGGTAAATACTCCGTCTGATTCAATACTGCTGTTCTCGTACCTACCTTGGGGGTGGTGTGCCAGGACTTGCCTAAAGAGAGGCTTTGAGGACCACATATCTCAGTGGGCAGAGTCCTGGAAATAGGACTTCTGCCATCTATTTCTGTTCCTTTCCAGAAACCAGTGCCTCAGTTCTCTCTGTTTAGGTTTCTTCTTTTGGTGAAAAGGGGACAACAGTGTTTGCCTTCAGCAGAAAAGACTTTCTAATCCTCTGGTAATTATATATTTATGCTACAGACTAGCATTACTAGGAGTCTCGTCATGTGTGTGCTGTCTGGGGGATTTTTTTCTTTATTAAAGCTATCAGTCTAAGTGAGACAACTAAGCTTGTATTAGTGTTGCTGGACAAGTGGAACACAAAACTAAGTCGCAAATGTCTCTGTTTTCATTTCTGAAACTTTAGTCAAATCACAGACCTGCAACCTAAATAAACCACGCTAGCTCCAGCTCCAGACATCCCGGCATCACACAACTAAGCCCTGAATAGCAGTGGTGCAGATGAAGTAACGAAAGTCTAATTACAGTGGGCAGAGAGACTTTTGTCTCTGAATAGCTGCTTTCCCTTCTATATCTCTGACAAAGATAATTTAAAACACTAAAAAACAGATAGCTGTAATGATATTCCTAAAACATTCAGTTAAAAGAGACTCTACTCCGATAGGTGTCCACTTACTTTGCAGAAAGGCCATCTTTCATCCATCTTGTTGTCCATTAAGACAGCAAAAAAAAAAAAAAAAAAAAAAAGGAATGGAGAAATAAAAATGAAACCTATGTCAGTCTCTTTCATAGATCAACAATACAAACAACATATTAGAAATACCGCTTGTCTTCCTTACTTTCTATCCTGTGGATCCAAGGCACAGAAAATAACAGTGTTGACTGGATAATGTCGCCGAAAAAAGAGTCTGGGTAGGAAAAAATAAAACAGCTTTAGGAATAGTTAAGGTAAAACAAGTTTTAGGAATAGTTAAGATGGTTAAAATATTAAAAAACAAACAGATCTGAAAAATAAATCATATTTAATCTAAATTTAATAATGACGACATATTCTTTTTGCTGTCTCTGAATGACTTTGAAAGCCACCTGAACTGCTCCAACCAAATAAATCTCTATTTAGAATAGCAACACCAAGTTTTTGAATCGAGAGAAAACTGACCCTCTAGATATGAAAATGTATTTTTTTTCTAAAAATTGGCCACTTAGATACTATGTCAGTGGGAAATGCAACTTCTTGGAACTTGCGAATAATTTGATTATATTAAGTTTCAAAATACAAGCACTCCTAGGCATTATAGTTTAAGTTTTGTCCTTGATCTGCTATAAACGCTAGCAGATCCCATGGCATCAAGAAGTCTGGCACTTTTTTTTTTAACCTATAATGAATTCCTGTTGTCCCTCCTTTGTTATTGTCAGTTTTCAAATCGAAAGTCTTTGTGGTAGTCTTAATAGCATTCAGTACAAAGTAAATATAAATTAACTTTTTATCATAGTATTTTACAGGCTATCCAAATCACTCTTTCAAACACTGGAGACATGCAGTGTCTACTTAGGCCAACTCCGTTCAGTGATACTAGTGAAAGACACCGTGAAGATAGATTACTTCACTGAATAGGTTGAATATCAAATGCTGGCAAAGCCATTACTTTCCCTTTTTGCAAGAAATTACAACAATGAAAACAATGCCACAGCAAAGTGACCTTCCAGAGGCAAAAGCTGTCACATGGAAGTCATGTCCGTAGCTTAAAACCTTGATTCTCTAGTCCTGCAGACAGCCGACACTGTCACCGCCATGCTTTAGACACCCTGCTGTCCTCTGACGCAGAGACTGCAGAACGTAACTAGGAAAACCAAACCAACAGCAGCCAACGCTTGTTGGGGACAAGGCCGGGTATTCTCTTCCCGTCCCTCTTTTTGCTTACTTTCTTTGATTATCTGTCAGCGTGATTCCCTGCGCAGACACCTTGAAGTGGACAACGGTTGAGATGGGAGAAGGATCTTGCATCAGTGTCAGGCTCAAGGCTTTCTGTACTGCCTGGTAGCCCGTAAGGGACTCCATCTCCACTGAATTCAGGTACCAGACATTACATGCTGTAATGAGAGAGGGGACAGACTTTGAGAGGTCATTACCCAACAGCAAGCAAACGGGTATCTTCTGAACAAAACCACACAAAATGTAAATTTTCCACCTTTGTAGAGCAAACAGGGAAGACTGGCAGCAAACTACCAAACCTCCTACACGTGCCTCACCTTGTCCCACCGTTGCTTCATAGTGTAAGTCTGTAATTTCAGAGGTCAAACGCCTTTTGCTGTCGCTTTGCTTTTAATGCCTTTATATTTAAGCCAGTGACTATATTTATCTATTACCCACAGATCCTGAAATTTACATAAATACAAGACAGCAGCAGAGTGAGGCCACTCATAGGTACCACTACAGCAAAGGTGTTCCTGAGGGGAAAGAATGGGGATGTTTTAAGTTTAATTACAGCAGCCATTAAGAAAAAACACATTTTTGCAGCATATGCTCACAGATGTTACACTTTCAAATGGTATTTAAATTATATTCAAAGGAAAGCATTCACTTGTATGGCAAGACAAGAATGTTTTTGCCCCATAAAGAATTGCAGGTTGCTGCAAAGCTCAATTCTCATTAATTCCATAGTGTTTGTATATTTAGTGATTTTAGGGCAAACAAAACAAGTTCCACATTGAGAAAAATTACTGACTTCTGTATTTTTAGGTCTATCCTTTACCTCAGCATGCACTTCTTTTTAAAAGCCCTATTCCTCTCCTAGAGATATTAGTACCTTCTGAAGTATCTCTATAAAACAGAAGCTCACCGGTTTCTAAGGCTACTGAACAGTTATTTTTTCACCTGGTCTCATATCAAATCTGCAGTGAGCACAAGGAAAAGAAGTACTAATATTATACAGCATATTATAATAGTACTATCGTACTGTATAATACTACATAGTACCACATGGTAACAGTGTCATATAACATTATACGGTATTAATTATTATACAGTATTAATAGAATTATTCACATACTTAAATACTTTGGGACTGTGGTATAAAGTCAAATTTACAAGCAGACTAAGAACAATTTTGAAACTGAAAAGCCCTCTTAGTCTTATTCTGCAGCACAAGCAAGAATGATTAAACACATCCACAGCTAAACACTGGTACCAACAGACTTTGTGTTCTGGTACAAACACCTGTGCAGGTATTCAGGACAGATTTACACCTCTGGCAGCTGACACTTCATGCAAATTACCATGTTAATATTTCATTTGTTTAGCAGTTTAGCTTGGCTTGCCAACCTTACTATGAAACCAAAGATTTAATCAGTAATGTGACCAAAGCTTTCTCCTATGATTATCTACATAAAATACACAGCTACACATTAGCGCTTTCAAAACAATCAAGCAATCGTACAGTTAAAGACTGCATAAGCGTAAGTTTGATTCCAGCATGAGGATCAGTCCAGTAACTTCAAGCCCTGGAGTCTGTCAATGAAAGAAGGGATCCAGAGATTTGATTTATTTGATTTGCAAGTGTAAAATCTCCCAAATGTATTTGCGCATTGCTGTGATAGTTTCAATAACCTTTGTTTAAATCAATTAGCATGCAATTCATGCAGACGGGGATTTAAGATGAATGACAAGTTCAACAGGGCCTTCCTCGCTGAACAGCTTTCTGTCAAATCTATCCAAAATTGTAAATAACATTCCAAACCATAAGCTCTCCTCTTCTCACATCGTTACTGTGTACGTTTGTACAGATCTAAAGCTCTTCACTATCCTGCGAGCCCTTCCCACCACAGCAAGCTTGCCTTGTTTCACAGTCACACTCCTCACCCTTTCTGAGACCCAGGTGAAGGGCTGTCCTTCCCCTTCTGCCACACATTGCATTGGTATCAACAGACTGTCCAGGTTTTGTTTCTAAATTTAATAGCCAAGCATTTTGTCTAGATTGCCCTCAATGTGATAGTTCAAAGGCAGCCTTCAAAGACAGTAGATTCCTTTACTTCTGTAGCACAAAAAATACTAAATGGAACCTTTTTCAGAAGTGTTGAAAAGTGCAAAAACGTCAGCTTAAAAAGGAGATTACAGGGAATGAAAGGTAATGAGAAAGGCTGGAAGATTTCTCATTTAAGAAGATCATACATGGTCTGATGGGATATCAAACGACAGCAATCCCACAGAAACCATACTCCAGGCTATAACAAAAGGAAGACGTCGGTGTTTATCGTGCCGTGCAGCTGCAGTGTTGCTGCTCTCGTCTTCCACGGGCCACATTTTATAATCACATCAGTGGTACCAACAGCTACACAATGTGGCCATTTCGAGTAAACCCTGCTGCTTATAGGCTGGGAACACGTTTTGTTCAGAACGCTTAGTCCCTTGACTGTATGAGTGGAAACAAAGAACTGGGATTTATTTGGGGCAGAAAACTTTGTTGCCGAACAGGAAGGTTAATACAGCAAGGTCTATTCTAGGGAAAAGCCACTTATCTGTATAGTGTCTAGTCTTCAGTGGTCACTCTCTAGGAAGCAAAGGGTTTCTGGTCTGCTTATGCATTTAGATAATGACCGGAAATGCTCACTAGGTTTTTCAGACAGCTATAAAAAAAGATCATTCTAGGAAAACACACCTTCATTTTTTTGCTTGTGGAGTGGGAGAAGAGTGGGGTATATAGGGCAAGGAAAAAGTGCATCTGCTTTGACTAAACTGCAGGTGCTCACACAAGCTCAGAGTTGGAAAAGCAACAATTTACATGTTTTGGGTCTGCACTTCAGTGCTCAACTCCACAACTGGCATGTCTCTGTGACTGGAGAGGGACCTCTGAAACATGGAAAATCAGTGGGAAATGATGTATCAAGGCAAAAAAAACCCTCTGAGAATCTCTCCTAGCTAATTTATCTATTCAGGTTCCAAACCCTCGTTTAAAAACAAAAACAGTATCAACAAAACAGGGAAGAAACAAATGCACTAAGTTCCCTACATGATCCACAATGTGACAGCCCCCATAAGAAGTTACCTCACTCCTGCCCCAACTGAAGTAAGAATTATTTCTTTTTCTTCGAAAAGCGTTCCCTGAGCAAAGAGAAAACAACATTTCTCAAAAGACAACACACGTCCCTTTTGCTGGGTTTTCAAGAGGTAAGGTTCTACAATGTTTTTTCCCGGCTGGCCGCAACAAACACCACCAGCACTGAAAGACAGAAAGGCCAACACGTGCTGACTCCTGGCACAGCAAGCTGCGAAGGCTTGCCATTGCCCCAGCCACACATTCCTGCTTGATTACCGCACTCGAAGCAGTACTTCAGACTCTAAAGTCAAAGCAGATTGCTGCATGAGCGAGAAGCAACACTCTCTCCAGCTTGGCAACTGCCCCCTTTAGAAGTACGCCAACAGGGGTGAGGGCAATGAGGCAGCATTCTTATAAAGGCATGCCTGGCCACAACATTTCTGCTTGCGGCTCCAGTGGTAGGTTAAACTCAAAGGAGAGTGCCAAACGTAGCGTATTCTCCTGCTCTAACGGAACTAATCAGGTGGACAGATAGATCCCAGGAAGAACTCACAGCAGCCTGAAAACCAGGCCCCATGGGATGGCCTGGGCAGAACCCCCTGGGCATGCCCACTGTACAGAGGAGTAACACAGTGGCTGCATTTCTACTAAGGACAGCCTCAAGATTACGCAGGGGTGCTCAGAGCACCGTGTCCAATAACGGTGGGTTCGGACACCATCACGCTTTCTCAGACAGGCTGTTTCACCTGTCTCTGGGTCAGCGGCACACAAACAAAGCGGATGGAAAGCAGAGCACATCTCTACACAGCTGCTGCAAACACCTCTATTTGAGAGCCATACAGATGGTACCAATGCACAGCATCACATCATTTGGAGGTAATCTTGCCAGGGTTGTTCCGTCACATCAATAAGCTCACGGTAAAACAACTTAACTTGCCAGAATGGGTGCTGAAGTATGCACGAGAATCCATAAAACAGCACCCAATGGAAAAGACACTGGACATTTCCTAACAATATGCAGTATCAAGTGAAGCACATTGCAATATTTTTTAACCTCTTTTTTTCAGACCGATGAGACAGTAAGCATTTTCCAGTGGTACTGTTGTCCCCTATGCTGAGAATTTAACCCCACTGAACACTCTCCTTCATTGCCTTTTGCAGACCTCAGACAAAGTTCATGAACCTCTGCAAGCACAGGTTGAAAATATCTTCTCCAAGTTCATCAGTGACGAAAGCAATGTCACTGCTTCAAAACTGCTGTGCTTGAACCAATCTATGTGCGCCTCATATTCTCATGGGAGACATGACCGAAAGGTTGTTGAACTTAGGAGCTGGCTGCAGAAAACAGAGAGAGCTTGGTACATATTCTCACAGTGCCCTTTACACTTCTACACAGCACTCTAAATTTAAACTGCTCCCTTCAAACATCCTTTAGTCCAGTCTAAGCTTCAGCTTCTCCCAGCCTGAAAGACAGAAAATTTGGTGACAGTCAAATGCAAGAAAAAAATTTAACAGACCTGCACCCTGTTTGAGCAGCTCCGCTGCTGAGTTTGCAGCAGTTTGTGGAGAAGTTTCTGCTATCTCGTCCAAGGGATCTGCAAACACAAAACACCGTCCATGTCTTGTTTGGAATTGAATCAACAAATCAATGCATACAGTCAAATATGAGTTTGGCTTTTGTAATTGTAATCTCATCTATTGGACAACTCTTGGCCAGAAATATGAAGCAATCCTGTATCTGCAACTATAATCATTTGTGCGGTTTTTGTGTTGCATCAAGTTTTTTTGCCTCCAGTGCTGCAGGAGGGATGCTCAACCTTTTGCTCCTGACGGTAAAAGACGTAACTACATAGCATACACTGCAGGTACAGACATGATGTCACATTAAAACAATACTAATAGCTATACTCCCTCATTACAACCTCAACATTTTTTAAAATAGTGCATTTTTAGCTATCCCACTTAATTTGTATAATTTACACTAATTTAGGTACAAAGACTTTGTGTTTCTACAATGAAATCAATTAACTGTATTTTGAATCAGAAGATGACAACATAATCCTTCTTTCTTCATACTTACATAGAAAACAAACATCTGAACTTTAAGTCAGCAGTGGAATGTTTGCCTCCCAAAAATCTTCTGTTAAAATTAGTGAGGAAACTGTCCATTGGTATGTTATTTCAGTTATATAAATGCATGTAAAAAGATCTCACTTACTGCTGTATTTAACATGATGCACGTTGTCTTTGCATACATTCAAATGAGGAAGAGAGCAGTAATATGGCGTGTGACACTATTCATGTTTAAAGTATCCATTCGCTTTAAATACTCCACGCACTGTACCCAGAATCATTCACCACAAAAGATCATCTTAAAATGCGTGATCATCTCAGATTCAAAAATAAATCGAAAATAAAACTTCACTGTGGTATGTTTAGTCAGAATAAGGCAAATGTTTCAGTCCTGCACCTCTACCAAAACAGAAGGAGCTTTCCATTTTAGGTGAGGAGGATAAGGAGAACAAGCCCACCTACCACACTGGTTTGCCATATAAAGCAAATCTCTGGTCACATCTACCATAGTGTGTTTTTGTGCTCAAACGGTTTCATTAATATATCTGCATAATTCAAATGCTATGTTTGAACACTGACATATGGCCTTTAGCAAAATTTTGAAGAGTTCAGTAGAAAACCACAAGAATGTTTAACATTTCTGTAATACATCTGGTGTTAACTTCATGTGGGAGAGTAACAGACAACTGAATAGCTACAAGCTATTCAAGCATAGCTACATTTTGCTGTTGTCTTCGAGCAGTTTATGAAATCACCACAATCAGTATCGGAATTGCAGCCCCATGATGCAACACAGGCTTTTTGATCATTTACTTCAACAATGGTTGGACCTGTGTAAGTTGCTACTTGCTTCCTGCCAGTGTCACATGCTATTCTGCACCTTCTGTTCTTTACCTATTTGCCTTCCCTAAAGCCCTTTTGCCACCCAGACCTGCATGAGTGGCTACATCTAACCATACATGGCCATAATCTCATGTCTGAGAAGTACATTTGTCTTCCTACATGCTAGATTACTGTGCAGATTTCCACGATGCACATATGTTTACAAATGGAATATCACAGTACTAGTCTGCTCACAGCTACAGCTTGGGTAAGAGCCATCAGCAGTACTGAAGAACCACTTTTAAAACACAGCTTCCTTCCCTGTGCATTCTTGCTTAGATCTCAACTTGTGGCCTGTTCACCTGCCTTCAGACATTGGCACTTTGAAGCAGAGCTCGGCTGGGTATATCTCTTTCGTACTTTAACAAGCATACCTCTGTCTGGGATGAGGAGCTTGCAGGGCAATGCCAGGGGAGTGATGGAATGCTGATACACCAGAGCTGTCAAACTCCCTGTGGTCAGAAGAGTTACAAAACATGCACAGTTAACTTCATGGACAACAAGAATGCTTCACAGTTATGTTGGCTCTCAAGTATTTTATAGACCAAGGGGGCTTCCCCTGCTGCTCTTTAAAAATTTTCTCTTGGAACCTAAGCCAATACACCTAGCGTGTTCATGCTTCCCAGCACTGTCCCAGTTCGCTTTACCTGAACTTAACAATCACAATCATATGCTCACTTTCCCTGCTTAAACACACTGCTTAAACCCTAACCTAAATGGCTTTGCTTCAAATAGAGAAAGCACAAAAAAGACAAAAACAGTAACATATGGAAATCAGTAAATTCCTTTCACTGCTCTTAACTTCTGCTACGTTAAATGTAGTAAAATCTCATGAAGATGGTAAGAGCACAAGTGGTCAATGCTATGTGATGAGGCAGAGAAAGAGCGAGGAGTTCCGCTCTTAGTCACCAGTGCTTTGTCTACATGCACCTCTATTTTGTGCTTATAAAAGTGTAAGAGATGGTCTAGACCAAACCTCCTCCATTCAATGCAGCAGTGACATACGTGGCATTCTCTATGAAATTATTCTTCTTTTCTAATCAGTCACTTTTGTCATTTGGACTTGGCTTAATTAAAATGATTAAACATTAGTCACCCTTGCCATTAGCATGTGACTATACTCTAAGGAGTGAGAGGAAGGTGTAATATCCATCAGTCTGTTTGTACAAAAAGCCATCCTTTGACACTGTTTACTAACAAACATTGAACACTGTAATCACCCGCTTGAGAAAAGTAACAGTACAACCAAAACCAACCTCATTTTTACAGCCCATCAAAAATTTATTTGAAATGGAAAGATGACCCAATTCTGCAAGGGTCTTATAGAAACACAAAGACCAATCAATACTATTAGTCCTTCATTGTCTTGTCCATACAAGTGGGTGATAGTGCTTACACACCTACTTTGTAAAGCAGTTTTGAGGTCATATACATGGAAAGACCAGGAGATGCTTGAACTAAATGATTAGCAGGGTTACATATGTGCCATAAACAGGTACTTTCACTTTTACTGGGCTAAAGATTCTGATTTGAAGTAAGTGTCATGCCAAACACTGACAAAAGTCATTCCATCTTTACTTCAAATAGGATTTCTCATTTCACACTTGTTTATTTGGTGGATGACCCCTTCAAGTGTGTACTGGGTGTCTGTGACAAGGCTGGCAGCAGCAGGTGGGAGGGCTGCAGGGTGACCTCTGTGGGAAGAGGCCAGGGGCTGCCCCATGCCAGGGCACAGCCAGCTCCAGCAGACCCACTGCAGCGCACCGCCGAGCCATGGCTGCAATGCTGCTGGGAAGCGGCAGAAAAGGCTGCAGAGAGACAAGAAGCGAACAAAAAGGGTGAGACACAGCAGAGGTAACACCCTGGCCAGAGGAGGAGGAAGAGGAGGAGGTGCTCCAGGCACCCCAGCTGACATCTCCCACCCTACAGCCCGTGGAGGACCTCGTTTCAGAGCAGATACATGTTTCCTGAAGGAACTGTGGCCCATGGACAGCCCATCCTGGAGCAGATACTTTTCCTGCAGGATGGCAGCCCATGGCGAAAGCCCACACCTCAGCAGGGAAAAAGTGGGAGAGGGATGAAGCAGCAGAGAAGAACGGTTCTGTAATGACAGTACACCCCCCACCCCTCCTGCACTGCCTGTGGTGGGGGTGAGGAGTCTGGGGGGAAGAGTCAATTTGAGCTTGGGAAAAGGGGGAGGAGAAGTGTTATTTTAATGTCTGTCTTTGTTTCTCACTACCTGAATATCAGTTTTAATTGAGAGAAAAAAAAAAATTCAATTTTCCCAAAGTTGAGTCTCTTTTGTCCACAGTAGTGACTGGTTAGCAACCTCCCTGTCTTTATCTCAATCCACAAGCATTCTCATCTCATTTTCCTCTCCTGCCCCACTGAGGAGGGCAAATGAGTGAGCAGCTAGGGAGGTGTTTGGCTGTTTGCCATAACGGGCAATGCACTTTCATCACATTACATTAGGCAGGCGGAAGTAGCATAATGTACTTTGTGAATATCCCACTCTGTTGTCGTTTCAGTCAGCTAGTACACAGTATAAATACAGCAGAGGACAAAATAAGGCAAAGGTCTTGAATCAATAAAGGCCGTAACAGCCACCTAGCTCAGCTGTCTGCAGTGGCATTGGTAGTGATAGACAAGCTTGACTGCTTGAAGTTTGATCGTGTGCTTCTACACGCTAGAGTGCCCAGCACATATACTCAAGGTAAATATGTACAAGGCTCCTATAACCTTAGAATGGGTTTCTACAGAAATCACCAGGACTTGAGCAAAGTATTCTCTCATGTGCACTCCATCCAAGTCTATAATAGAGCTCTGGCAAATGCAAACTTTTTCCATTTTCTTTGTCCCTGTGATGCACAGCACTTACCAAAATACGGTTCATTTGGGCATCCTTTCAAGCGCACCCCCTTGTGAGTGCATTCAATCAGAAAATGCCTTACAAGTTCGTTTGACAGATCTCCAACTGTGTTGAAAAAGAAAAAGAAAGCTCATGAAAAGAAGCAATGAACAGACAACAGTCTCACAAATTAGCAGGTCTTTATGAAGCAGTTTTCCAAATTACCACCAAATGCTTTATATACAGCATGCAAAGAATACATTAGACCTGCTCTGCTGCAAGGTTACAAGCTGTAGCAAAAAGGCCATTCTGTAAAAAACAAACAAGCAAATAGCTCACTTTAGACAACCAGAGGAAAAGGTTTTATAATCATAAGTGACTGACACCTAAATATACACTGGTGTCCAAAATGATCAATGATCATGGTCCCAACTACAGACAGAAACAGAAATCTGGAAAGCGAATGGTTAGAAATTCTGATGCACTTGCCCATTAGAAGAAAATGTGACAAGGGAGTAAAAGAATTATAAAATACCCATATTTCTAGTGACAGTTCTGCTTCTCAGAACTTATCCAGATTGAAACAACAGAAGATTTAGCTACACAAAGCTAATGATGCCAAGTCTCGCAGTGAATTCTTAAGTTTTAAAATGTCTGCAGTTTTATGCTAAGCCTTTGCTCCTGAAAGCAAACAATTACATGAAACACTCAGGTTCCACTAGATTTTTAAAGACAGTTTTTATCTTTTGGGAATCTAGGACAAATCAAAACTGTTAAGTTGGGTGTTAAGGAGATTCAAAGTCCAGGAGGCATACAAAAATTCCCTTGAGATTTAGTATTCCTTTAAATATATACATACATATGTACACATGTAATTAAGACAACTTCATTATTTCTTGGAAGACTGGTTCGCAGTATTTCACATCTGACTACAAACTGAATCTCTCTCCAAGTAATTAAAGGGTTATTTCATAGCAAGGGGACAAAGCTACCCAATCATTCAAACCTTAACAAAAGAGTCACAAACACAAACGCTCCCTTTGACTCTGATCTATCAGCCACAGACCAGGAAACACATGACATCAATGGCTGACTTTCAGGCTAACACAGATGAATGCATTCATCTGGACAGCAGAAAGTCCTATTCAAGCAAATATTGCAGAGATCACCTTTTCAAACTGCTTACTGTTTGCTGTTATGCTCTCACAATATTAAAAGTAAATTACTCTAAGTGTATGGGGGAAGAGGAAACCCGGAACAAGAAATCCTGCAGGAAACTGACAAATCTCTGCCTTCTGCGGTGAAACAGTGGGAACCAAAGCAAGCGAAGTATCACACAGTGAGAAGTGGAAGAATGCTACTGTCTGAACTAAAATTTTCTCTTGCTACCACTCGCCTGTGGTACAACTAACATAACCCAGCTCTTCCAGGCTAGTAGAGTTCGAACTTTCATTTCTTCCTGGACTTCACTGGTCTGATGATAAAAAGATTACTAGATCACCTACAGCCACTCTCCATTTCCCTCCTTGCTGTTGCTATCACCACCCCAGTGCACCCCTGTTGTCTTCATTAAATAGGACATTGGAGTGGTTCTGCTGATGATTCCTGGCAACAAAAAGAAGGATTACATAGAAAATTTTTACTAGAAAATGTCTCAAGATACCAGATTAAGTGTACGGAATTTGAAAGTGTTATTGTAATAGAGGTGGACTGCAGCAAGCATGAAATCTTTAAAAAACTCAAATCAACAGCCAACCAACCAACCAAGACCAGACACACACCTCCATAACCACAACACTAAGAATCACTGCTTTCCTCTGATCTCAGTTGCTCACCTCACCAGGTAGCATGTACTAATGAAAGATAATAAGCTTTGTAAAAGGAAAACAGCAGCAATGAAAACCACCCCACTACCCTTGCAGTAGCACAAATAGAGCCAAGAACACTACAGATACTAGCTGCTGTGTTTTCATACACTGATTAATGCTTTCCATATGTTTTTCTCATTTTTACCTTTCACAACCATCAGGCACAATTTATACATGGAGGCACTGGAGCTGGGAGAGCAGGTGTATTTCATCACTTCTTTTAAACAACTATCATTTTTCCTTAGGGAACCTCCTCAGATTTATATCTAATGTAGAGCTGTCTCAAAACAAAACCTTGGGGTCAAAGACATTCCACCTTCCAGCCAAGTGAAAGCTTTACATGGCGGTATGCGGATCAGACGCAGACTTCTGATTGCTAGCGAGGACCTATTACCGAGATGACACTGGTTTTCTGTTAGGTCGGTAAGGTACAATACAGGAACAGCCACAATGATCCTTTTTTATAAAAATACATTTACAAGCCATGGTAAAACTGTAAAGTACAACAAACATCCAGTCACATTTAACAAGGTACCAAATAGAGCCTGTAATTCAAGTTGCTCTTACTAGAAGAGGTGAGATTCCTCCAGCTTATTACCTAGTAATAAGGGCTTCCTACTATTTATGGCTCGTTAAACAACAGAAAGCATACAGTACCTTTCTTGTTTAATTGCAGCACAGAAGGAGGTGGTGTAGCAACTTTCATTGCTAGCCCATAGGCTCCCCGGAAAGAATGACTGTCTCGAACAATGAATGACCCAGGCTCCTTGTCCTTGAGAACAGCAATGGCTGCAAGGGATTCCGGGAAAGAGAGAGAAAACCAGTTCCAGAACAATGCACACACCCAGAAAGTACAGAAGTGCAAATCTGTAATTAACAGTAGACTAAAATAAATGAGATCCTTTTCTCCATCTCCACAGCTGTAGAACAGAATACAATCAAGTGTATTTGGGAGATCTGAGTGGAAACATCTTGTGCAAATCTCACTTCTTTCAGGAGAAGCTTGAAGTACAGATCTCTACTGATTCTTAAACTGAGAAGGACATGCAGGTCCCAACCAGTGCAAGAGCAAACCGATTCCTGCTTATATTTTGTCAACTTGTCAGCAGCACGACAGAGAGCACAGTTCTCTGCAATTCCCAGGCTGACTAGACAGCAGCTTGAACAGCTGGACCAGATCCGTCTTCACCCACCACCAAGTTTCTGTCCTGCAAAGTAGGCTCACTCCCTCGCTAGTTTTAAAGCAAGGGAACAAACGTGAGCATTTGCTCTCTGTCGAAGCACTGAAATATTTAAAATCTGTATGCTGTGATCTCTGCTGGAAGTGTGATATGAAGTGCTCCCCAGGAGGAAACATCCACAGGGAAACTGCTCTTGCTTTGCCTAAGTCTGCTGCAGACTTTGAAATCCAGTAGCCCAAAATCTTCAACTCACTTTGCAAAAAGATAAAAGATTCCTCTAAAGATTGACACTAATTTGATCTTCATAAAACCTTAGTACCTTGCTTCCTTTTTTTTTTTTCCTTAAACTTCTTCAAAATACTTGTGTTTGTTTCCAGAATTTCTAATGATCAGTAAGCCTTCAAATAAACCCTGGAAAAAGCCCAAACTTGACCCTGGTGTCCTTAACTGTCTGTATACACAAACCATGGAAATTATGCATATGGGGCATGAAGCCATATTTTGGAAGGCCTGAGCAATGATTACATCATAAACACACACATTTTATTTTCCATGAAAAAAAAAAGTAGTAATAGAAAATCGGGAAAATACAGACATAACTGTCTCTCCTTTTTAACCGAGTAAAGCAAATGCGTATGTATATATTCTGTTTTATTCATCTGTCAAATGGTGAAGAAAAGAACTGTTCTCACAATAACCTGTCATGTGTAGAGAGGAGGATGATGAATACATAAATCCCTGTAATTCAGCAGTACTCGTGTACCACTTCTAAATCTGCAGGGGGACAGTAACCATTTACCACAGGAGCAGTCCATTAAGCACAGGAAAAAAGAACAAGCGCTTCCTCTCCTCAGCAACACTTATAAACACTTAAAACACTTTTTTAAAAGGAATTTTACTTGGTAGGCACACTAAAAGTTTGAGAAGACTATTTTCATTTGTTCAAGCAGCTAGGTTTAAACTTCCTTTATGATCTACTCCTCTCCCTGGACTCGCATCAAGTCAGGAAATTTTTTTTGCACATTTAAAGACATTTAAAGACTCACTTCTCATTACGGGTGGGAGCAGACAAGAGGGAGTGGACTGGAGTGAAAGAACTAGTAAAATATCATCCAGAGATGAATTAATAATCTGTTTTCTATGATCTTTATTCCTCTAGGCTCATATTTACCACTACAATATAAGAGGCACCCTCACTGTCTGAGAAACTATGAACTAAACAGACATAGCAACTCATTGTCTGCCAACAGCTGAAGGCTGCTTTGGTTTAGTGTGAACTTCCCAACGCAGAACTAATTCATCATTTTTCCTTTTTGACAATCACATCTTAGGAATCCAAGTTTAAAATCTTGCCATAACTTCTTAAATACAATTCAGTATAGCTGAATATTACAATACGCACACAAGGACCGTCAGACCAATTGCATCTGCAAAGCACCTAGCGTGCTTTATTTATGCACTGTTGTAGGGACAAGGTGCGAGTTCCTACATATACATTTTCACATACATAATAAAAGCTTTCTTCATCTCATTCAATAATACATCTACCTATTGATGTATTATATCTGTATTGTACATCATAAAGATGTTATTCCATGGGAGTGTTATTCTGTGACCTTTAAGAAATAACGTATGTCACTTGCAGCTGCCAATGAAATTCAGGCTACAGAACAACTGACAGATGAGGATGCTTTTACGATGACTTCTAGCTAAGGAATTATTCTCTGATATTTCGCACCTCTCAACCTGTTACCTGCGCAGGGAACACACGTCTGGGATCATGCCAGAGCAGCATACTTGTACTCCGGAGGTTTCTGACAGTTGTTGGGTATTGCATCATCCATATCTGTCATTCCAAAACCTGGAGCTCTTCAGTAAAGCACATTTGCAGCAGCTACCACAGGCAAATTTAAACTACTTTATAGTTAGTTCAGTTAGGCTAATAATTTGTCTTTTTAACTGAGCATTTTTTAAGGACTACTTGACTGCCCTCCGCTCTCAAATTCAGCCTTTGGATAAAAGAAATTAAGTGAGGTTGTCTGTGGTCCTTCTAGGTTTTAGATTTCTTCTTGTATTTCTTTTAGACATCAGGTATGCATCAAAAAAATTTAAGGAGAATTCACCAACTAGTCTTTCTGTGAATGGATATGCTAGAATATACACCAGTTGATATACCTTGTTCTCTTGAAATATCTGGTTTATACCAGAATTTGGATGTGTCCTGGACAAATTTTACAGTCACATGTTTATCAGTTGTGTTTTCTGTGAAATAAAATGGAAAAAAGGTCAAGAAATCTTTTAAATACAAAAGTATTTTTTACTTTTCTTTCCAACTTCCAATCACCTTAATTATTCAAAAATCTCATGATTAGAAGCACAATCTAGAGAAACGCTGAACGGTTTTAGAACCAGCAAATATAACACCATACACTAAGATTCTGAAAGTATTCTTGCAGTTTCATTTTGCAAAACCCACAAAATACGAAAAACTCTTACATTTATAAAGCTGTATTAAATACAAAGCTTCTCAATAGGGTCCAGTGAATACAAATCTACATTTTCAACTATTCTTGACACAAGTCTAGAAAGGTGCAGAGAGAAGTCAGCCCCTACTACAGGAAGTTGGACTCCACACCACTTGCCCGTGGTTTAGCAGTTCAAAAGGCAGCCTGCTGTTGGCTGACACTTAGGGAAGCGCAGAAAGAATTCCGCAGCCTTGTTCTCTGAATAATAGATCCCGAGTCAGTGAACTGGTGCCACTTACTGCAAACATTCAAGTCCTCTGTGCCACTGTCATTCCGTTGCTTTTTTTTTTTCCCTCCCCACTTTTAAAATCCCCAAAATGCTTTTTATAAACTCACAGAAAATCTAATGTATTTTGCATTTCTCTGATGGAGAACCTACCTGGCACTGGGGAAGTGCTTAACATTTTTGAGAAATCTGGGAGGACGTTTGGGAAAGGGATGCTGATTGTGCTTCCACTGTGGGGGCTAGAGAATCCACTTGAAGAAGGTGACACAGAGGCAAAGGAACGGTCTCCTTCAGAGGACCTCTTTTTCTTGCTGCTGACCCACACTGTTCTGGCTACTGTGTCCAGAGGCCACCGTAAGAAAGTTCTGTGTCAAAAAGCCATTGTCCGCGGCACTTGCCACTGATGAGCTCATGGTTTTAGGAGAGATGCTAGCATTGGCTATGAAAGGAGCTTGTTTCTCCTCGCGGGGGGAGCCACTGCCCATGTTGCCCCCGCTGTAGCTCAGGTAGGCCCGTGTACTGTTGCTGACAGCAGGTTCTTGCTGTGGCTCTGCTGCTGAATTCTCCAGGTTGCCCAGGGTGACGACTTGCAGTCCTGGAGTTTGGAAATGAGACAAGAGAGAGACATCTTGCATGGCATTTGAAAATTCAGAGGGCACAAGGTAACCTCCCGGCAGCCTGCTGTTTCCCATTGAAAGCTGGAGCGACGGGGAAGCTTTAGGGCTGTTTTCAAGCCAAGGACGTTCTGTTGCAGAAGAGCTGTCAAAAAAAGCCAAAAATTGAACACTAAAATAAAACAGCAGACAAATCATTCCCTTAAAATGTCATTATACAACCCATAGTGCAGGGATCACTGGAAACAGTGAATCACCTCACCCAGGACAATACCCAAGGGTGCCTCCTCTCACCCTCTACCTAGCCATGCTGATGGGACAGTTTCTGAGTCTGCACTATAAACCAGCACAGTAGTTAAAACTACTCCTCCTTCCCCTTGTTTGAGAGGGTTACTTTTAACATGAATCAACTCAGTGAGGCTGTTCGCAGTGTTGCTTCACATACAGTGGTCCTGGAGATCGCTACGTGGTGAGCTGCATTGCTACCTGAAAAAGCGCAGTAGGAGGCAAGAATTTCTTCAGCCAAGACTGCCATCAAAGGCAGAAATTTATGGAAGAAAACTGACACTGCCAGAGCACTTCTTACATGCAGAGTCTCTTATGCTCATTTAAACAAAAAAAAAAAAAGAAAAAAAAGAAAAAAAAAGAAAAGAAATGGGCTAAGGAGGTAGTTGTGCACCATCACACAATAAATGAATAACTATGACAAGAACACAGTCCCCAAGAATGAACTCTTTGACCAAGTCCCTTTTAATACAATTTACATTAAAAAAGGAAGGGACACGGGTTCATTGGTTAATTTATTTGATGATGGAATCATTTTGATTGATAGAATCAAGTATTTCAACAGTAAACATTAGATTTTTCTACTGGGTAGCAATTCCACCTGCTCAAGTGAAAAATAACAAATGTCCTTCTAAATAAAACAAACTAAGCTTCTGATGAAACCATCTGATAAAAGTTTAAACTGTCTCCCTGCTTCTAAAAGTGAAATGCCCTTAGACTGTTGCTGGAAAACATTACCAGCAATATCAAATGTACAAAGAACAAGCTCACTGGGTGATGCGAAGGGAACAGATCTGACATAAGATATATAAAAAAATAAAGGATTTTTAATTAAAAGGGAATTGTGGAAACGGATACCAGTAGATTTGAACAGATCGAAGTAGAAGGGCCATAAAGAAATGGAAAGGAAGCCAACGGAAGAAGACATCATTGCAAGAAAAAAACCCCCACAGGTGTAGCTATCTGCTAGATGAAATGAAAAATGACAGGAAAAATATTTAGAAAGAAGGGAACAAAATTTCCTAGATAATGTTTGAAGTAGGAATGTACACTTGATAATGACTGCATTGCCTGATAAGCTTTTAATTCGCATCCACTTACAACGAAATGTTACATTGCCTCCTCAGAAAATGCTAACATCCTTTGTTCACTCTTATGATTCGCACTCACATCACAAAATGAAAACATTGTTTCACAGTCCAAGTACTGACTGAAAATGAAATCAATTAGATGGGAAGATAAATAAAAGATAAAGAGGTATCAACATACTTGAAGACCTCACTGAGAGTCTGACACAGCAAGGAACAGCATTCCAAACACTTACTGTGAAAAAGGAGCCAATTATCCAAGAACAAGAATAGGATAATTAGCCACAAAGGAATGCTGTTGCAGAGTGATAGGGGAAGGATAATTAGCCACAAAGGAATGCTGTTGCAGAGTGATAGGGGAAGGAAACCTAATCAGCTGTAACATAATACCTCATCTATTAAGTAAATATAAGGCATAGCTAATGACTGATCATTCATTACCATGGTCTTCTGAACCTTCTGACAGCAACCTGGGATCCCTTGTTTGTTTGCTGTGTTTCCTGCTAATTCTCATTTTCTGCTGTGAACTCCTTGGGACAAGGACTATTTTGTAAATTTATACTATGCCAGCTCTGGTCTAGAGCCCTACATGTTTACCACAATACAAATATGAAAAAATGAAATCTCTCAGCCTGCTGAGCAGATGAAAGGGAGTTAGCTATTCACTACTAAAACCAAATCCTCTGATGTTTTTCTGACTAGGAACGCATGTACTGCAGTGAGAAGAGTGCTTCCTCTCTCTCATACTCAACTTATTCCAATGTGAAATTTCTATTAAATGCTTTTCAGTAAAACATTAGAGAAGCTGGTTAAGCCCACAGGAAAGTATGTATGAGCTTGTGTTAGCGGATAATAAGCAACTGAGCTATAAATTTCTATTTATTTTTGTATTCCTATTTATCTTCAAAGCTAACTGTGCCCCTGACATACAAGTAACATCTGTGTATGTGGTAAATTCTAGGTGGTGGACAACATCATCACGAAATGTCACAACCAAACTCAAAGTCCTCGGACAAATGCCCTGCAATGAAGATGCAAGCATAACACCTTGGGTGGAAACTATAGATAGGAGAACTAAACAATAAGGTAGGAAAATCTTTTCCTACCTTTCTCCCCCCGAGATAGGGCTGTTACTTGAAACAGCACATGAAGATGCAAAACATCGCTGAAAGGAGGGATCCATCTGCACGTTGGCCTTCAGCAAAGCAGGGTTAGTGCCCACAGTGCTGTCAGACATCACCACAGAGTGGTTAATGGCTTCCGGGTAACTTCGAGATTCTGCAGCAAAGGAAAAAAAGTAAAAGGCAAGTTAAAACACAACTCACATTTTTATGGACCTTGTACTGAAAGAAGTGTTTATAAAACTAGCTGTTTTTCTCTTAATAGGACCATAAAGAAGAGATTTTGCTGCAGCAGTAACATTTTATTTCACAACATTATGTTGATTGCTGTACACATCCAGCAGGACAAATGGCAGAGGGAATACAGGTCACAGAATTGCACCACTCAGACTGTTTGAACAGTTCTCCAGGACATATTCTCTAGCCTAAAGATGAGAACAGACCCCTCTGTTCCAAGTTGTTACGCATTCCACTGTCCACAGTGTTAACCATATGAGTCTAATCAAGTGTGCTATGTGACTATACACACCACCAGTGTGCACTTAAACACCACGGGGATAGGAAACTAGAGTACTAATTCAGCCCGCCCATTCAGCCCACTGCTGAATGGGGCACAGACCTGGTGGAAAATGACACAGAAAATGCTGAGGCACTCAAAACCTTCTTCACCTCAGTCTTTACCAGTAAGACAGGCCTTTGGGAATCTCAAGCCCCTGAGACCACATGAAAAATCTGGGTCAAGGAAGCCTTACCCTTGGTGGAGGAGGACCAAACAATGGAGCACTTCTACAAACTGGACATGTGTAAGTCCATCGGGGCCTGGCAGGTTGCACCCACAAGAGCTGAGGGAGCTGACTGCTACCACTGCAAGGCCACTCTCGATAATCTTTGAAAGGTCACAATGACTGGGAGAGATTCCTGAAGACTGGAAGGGAGCAAGCGTCACTCCTATCTTCAAGAAGGACATGAAGGATGATCTGGGGAACTGCAGGTGTGTCTGGGAAGGTGATGGAGCAACTAATCCTGGAAACTATTTCCAAACACATGAAGGAAAAGATGATTGAGAGTTGTCAGCATGGATTTACGAAGGGGAAATCACGTTTATCCACCCCGATAGCCTTCTTCAGTGAACAGACTAGCTTAGGGGCTAAGGGAAGAGCCGTGGATGTTGCTTATCTTGACTTTAGTAAGGCCTTTATCACGGTCTCCCATAACATCCTCATAAACAAGCTGACAAAGCATGGGTTAGGTAAGCAGACAGTGATTGAAAAGTGGATGAACATCTGGGCCCTGAGGCTTGTGATCAGCTGCACCAAGCCCACTAGGAGGCAAGACACTAGCATTATACCCCAGGGGTTGATACTGGGGCCAATACTGTTCAAAGCCTTCACTAACGACCTGGATGACGGGATAAAGCTTCATCAGCAAGTTTGCGGACAATAAAAAAAACTGTGAGGAGTGACTTATAAACCAGATGGCTGTGCTGCCATTTAGCATTGAGAAAAATGGACCAAGAGGAATCTCAAGTTCAACAAGGGAAAAAGCAAACTCCTGCACCTGGGAAGGAATAATCCTAGGTATCAGTACGTGCTGGGGGCCAACTGGCTGGAAGACAGCTCTGCAGAGAAGGACCTGGGGGTCCTGGTGGACCTTCCTGACCGTGAGCCAGCAATGCAACCTCACGGCAAAGGCGGTTAACCGTATCCTGGGCTGCATCAGGAAGTGTCGCCAGCAGCTCAAGGGAGGTGGTCGTTCCTCTCTGCTTAGCACTAGTGAGGCCACCTCTGGAGCTCTGTGCCCATTTCTGGGCTCCCCAGTACAAAAGAGACATGGTCTTACTTGAGCAAGTCCAGCGCAAGGCCACAAAGATGCCTGGAGCATCACTAGGACTGGAGCATCTTTCACAGGAGCAAGGGATGAGAGAGCTGGTACTGTTCAGCCTGGAGAAGAGAAGGCTCAAGGGTACACTATCACTGTGTACAGAAACATGATGGGAGGGAGTGAAGATGAGGGAGCCAGCCTTCTCTCACTCTTCTGCTCACAGGAAGAGAAAAGGACAGAACCAGGGTTGAAAGGCAGTTGAGCAGCATGGGTTTTAGTTACCAGTACAGCTACAGATTTCAGGTGTGACTCTGCTCATACCACACAGACAAAAAAGTAAAGAAACTGTAAACTTGTCTTTCCTAATAGCTTGCAGATAACACTGGAGTAATTGGTTTCTAAATTGATTCAAGTCTGAACTATGTTCAACTTCATTATACTGGACACAAATAATATGCGATATAATTAAAACACATGCATTTGGAAGAGGAATAATGTGAATGCTATTACTGAAGAGCTTTATACAGGAACAGTTTAGTCCCCTTCTTTACAGATGCATTTTAATAACCAGTCAGTCTCCAATGAAAGAGGATTACATTTAATTATTCTGGTATAGTCTAAAGCAATCCAACACCTGTTCACGTAAGACCAGGTTCAATGGCACGGTTTTCTACCACAGAAAAGGCCATGCACAAAGACACTGCAAATGCCTGTGCATCTGAATACCTTAATACACCTTAATAGCTCCATTGACCTCAAGACTCGCAGGACTGGAACCCAGTAAGACGATCACAGATGAAACAATCTCCAATTACTTTCTCTTGAGTAGATATACTTAAAAAGATGGAGGGAGAAAAAATACACAAGAAAGTTATGGAACGTTTCCAGTCATACAAAGGGTTAAGATCATGTTAATGCATCTTTTCCATAAGGAAATTTTTCTAATGTAAAAAGGAGGAGGGTTCTCACTATTTCTGTAAGCACAACTGAAAACAACTCTAAATAAGTCTTCTTCTCCCCTCAATTCATAGCACAGCCTGGCCATGAATGAGGAGGGTGCAAGCTACTTAAAAGAAATGCCTGAGATAAGAAAATCAGCAAATCAGTGCCCTGACTGAAAACCATTTGAATTCCTTACATAGCACACATACTGTACAGAGCAAACACTTAAATGGATGAGGGAAACATCAGAAAACTGCAACCTTGTGTTTTAACTATATCCACTGCTTTAACTATATGCACACCAGCCACAGAAGTGAACTTTCAGGAAATACTGCAGAAATATGTGTGGTGTGGAAGAGCTAGAGAAATCTGAATCTGTATCTATCTAAAAGATCAGATATATTACAGTCATTCTCCAGTCACAGTGGTGCAAACAGTCAGGAAAAAAAGCTGGCTGCATAAACCCATGATTTAGGCCATATTCCTACTGAAATTAGTAGTGCAGTATTACAAAGACTGACTGCTTACCCAAGTATTATAAAGATTGATGTTAAGCCCTGAGCAACGATTTCAATATATAACAAAGTCATATTACTTTGTCTTAACTATTACCTGAGAAAAAGCCGATTAGTTGAAGGTGCGTTGGTCAAACTAATGTTGTACATCTAAAGACTAGTAGAGCCTCAAAAGAAACACAGCTTTTGCTAGGCTAAAAGCAGATGAATCTACCAAGAGCACAAAATATCTTAAGTGCTACAGACATCTCATCTCTGCACACGAACCCGCAGATTCTTCCCAATTACACTGCAGGTTGAGATGACTCTGCTACTGAATGGGGGAGGTTCATGCATTCCCTGCAGGCATGGGAATTACAATCATAGAATCACAGAATGTTCAGGCTTGGAAGGGACCTCTGTGGGTCACCCAGTACAACCCCCTGACGAAGCAGGGTCACCCAGAGCAGGCTGCACAGGACCGCATCCAGGCGGGTCTTGAGTATCTCCAGAGAAGGAGACTCCACAACCTCCCTGGGCAGCCTGTGCCAGGGCTCCGTCACCCTCAGAGGGAAGAAGTTCCTCCTCATGTTCAGACGGAATTTCCTCTGCTTCAGTCTGTGCCCGTTGCCCCTTGTCCTGTTGCTGGGCACCTCTGAAAAGAGTCTGGCCCCATCCTCCTGACACCCACCCTGCAGATATTTATAGGCATTTCTAAGGTCCCCTCTCAGCCTTCTCTTCTTCAGGCTAAACCAGCCCAGCTCCCTCAGCCTTTCCTCATAGGAACGATGCTCCAGTCCCCTCCTCCCCCTGGTAGCCCTCCGCTGGACTCTCTCCAGTAGCTCCTCATCTTTCTTGAACTGGGGAGCCCAGAACTGAACACAGTACTCCAGATGCAGCCTCACTAGGGCAGAGTAGAGGAGGAGGAGAACCTCCCTCGACCTGCTGGCCACACTCCTCTTGATGCACCCCAGGATGCCATCGGCCTTCTTGGCAACCAGGGCACACTGCTGGCTCATGGTCAACTTGTCATCCACCAGGACACCCAGGTCCCTCTCCACAGAGCTGCTCTCCAGCAGGTCCGCCCCAAGCCTTAACTCCATATGCTTGCCTGTTTTCGTGCCTCTATGTCTGTTCCCCTGATACCAGACTACATAGTGGAGTCATTGGACTCCTGTTACCAAGAACCTGGGGGCAGGTAGGGGAGTGGCACTCCTTCCAAAATAGCTTAAAATCTTCTCCCACCCTAATGCGATCTCAGCTATGCGCGATCTCAGCTATCTGTGTAAAAGTTACTCTAAAGCATTTACACAGCAAAGTCCTCTCCTTCTCCCACCAACAACAGCACTTGCTTGAAGAAATAGACCAAGACTTGACTCTTCCCTGCTTCAGGCCTTGGACTGTTGCTGTTACCTTTAGAGCACCGAATGCTGCGTGAGGGAAGGACCACTGTCATGCTCACAGTCGCAGCATTTCTTTTCATACCCAATTTACATAGGTGTAAAATACTAAAATACTGGCAGACAGGCATGTAGTCTGCAGAAACAAGGCAAACTCTGTACAACTCTTTCCAGGCTAGAAACGAGTATATCTGAAAAGCACTTCCCATGAAAGCAGCTTTGTTTATATTTCAATTAAAAACAAGCTTGCTGAATATTTCAGCTATGTCCTCTCTATTGTCTGATGCAGAGTCCACACTCACTGGTCAGCTGTTAACCCTTCATCTCACAGTATCACTAATGCAGTCCAGTCCCACCGCTTCCACAGGATTTCTGTATGATTGGTATGAACTCCCCTGGCTTGTCTGCTGCAAAGCATCAGTGCTTCTTGCTGCAGGCCCCTAATAAATCTACACCATTACATCTGTGAGAACACTGACTACGCAAAAGTGCAGCTCCCT